TCTGCCTCTAGCAACTGCTATTTCCTCATCAATGTAAAACCAAATAAAGAAAGGATCCTTGTTGCCTGGCTCTCTGTCATTTGTTTGGCCCAGACTGATCTCTAGAGGTTTCAAATTCGCAATTTTGATGCGGATACATTCAAAAATGAAGGCCAGTATTCTCTTCTTCCAAGAAAATCTGCCTTCAAATGTTAAGCATCCAAGTGGGCCGAGATACACCCCATTCTCAATCCTCTTTCCCTGATAGCAATTGAAAGTAAGACTGATTACTTTCTTGCTTGATTGACGATATTAGCAATATGAAGTTATCAGCAATTTCGCAAGAAAATCCGAAGGCATAGGAAAATTACAAACGATAAAACAAGCATAATTACTAGAATGTAAATCTTCAAATAAATGACTGGAGGAAATATCACACACTGACACATAATCGTTTATATATTTCTCTATTAAGACCATGATCAAACCTTGTTCATGTTCTAAGAATGCAACCTCACTTCGATGTCCCAAAGAAACAAGCAGTGCATACTTTTGTGTAAAGATCAGTTTATATTTCTCAATAGCAATTAATATTTTTTAATGTCCTTTTTTATTTTTCTATTATATAATAAAATAGATTTACATTTATACTTTTTGTAAAATTAAATTAAACAGTTTTATACTATTAAATATTTTATTTTTGTCTTTTAATAATTCTGTATCCTTTTTTAATTGTTTTCTCAAACGTGCATACTCATTTTAATTTCCTCTCTTATTATTATTAAAAAAATGAGTTTATAAAAAGAAATAAATTAATAAGGGTAAATACACAGAGAAAGGGCCGGCAAGAAGATTGCAGATAAAATGGGAGGGGGCCGTTCGTTCAAAGAAGCTCAACCTTTGTGAATGGATATGCGCTTCTCCATCCTACGAGAGAATAGTTATAACGCGTGGCTTTTTTTTTTTTTTTTTTTGGTCATCGAAAGCTAACTAAAAAATGCAGGATATCCAATCCAAATATACACCATAATAACCCAATAGTTTGGATTTCATGATGTGAAACAAATTTAATTTCTAAAATAAAATTAGAGAAAAACATGATTATATAATATTTTACTGTCCACATTAGGCAACTAATAATAGATGTTACGGTCTTAAATATTTCAAATAAAGGTGGATATTCTTGAGTTTTATAAAAGAGTAATGTTAAACCTACAAACAAATCTTATAAAGATTTGTATTCAAACTAATATGACGTAAAATTAGTGGAAAAGTGAATATGATGAGTTCAATTTTTTGTATTTACTTCACATCAGTTTGTACACAAATCTTGGTGAGATTTGTTTATACATATAACAGTATTGTTCAAAGAATAATATTAAGTTATGGGTGTGTTCTTTTTTTAATTTTGAGTTTTAGGTGTTTGTCTATAATCACAAACAATAAAAAATTAAAAAAATATGAAATTTATTTTCTACCAAATAGATAAAACCACTTTAAACTACTACTACTTTATTTGTTTCAAAGTGTTTGTCTCAATTATTGATTTCTGTTTATAATTTTGTATGAAAAGTTTTGATTTAAAAAGGAGTTTTTGTTTAAAGAGAGAAAAGAAAATATTGAAAAAAGTAAAAGAATAAATAATATATTTATTTAAATTTCTAATTTATTATAGGGGAAACGACTTACACCTACCCAAGATTTGGCGAAACGGTAGATTGGTATCCAAAAGGTTTCAAAATAACAAACAGGTACCTTCTATTAGTGAAAAGACTAGCCCTTGAGAAATATTAGTTTATTTTCTTAATTACTTTTAGACCCCTTAAGTTTATTAATTCCACAAATACCCCCGAAAAAAAGTTTAAAACTTAACAAAAACACTCCCACCCACCCATACTTGCCAGATTCCCGCGGCCACCACCGGTGGTAGCCGGAATCTGTCACAACGGTCTACGCCGCCACTGAAAATGGCTGATAATTCACCGATCTGACCTTTTCCGACCAGATCTAGCCGTCGACGGCCGCAACACTCCATCTGGCCGTCGTTGTCTATCAACGATGGCCAAGATTTGGCCGTCGTTGACAGTCAACGACAGCCATTTCTTTGGCCGTCAGTTTCTGGCCAGATCTGGCCTTTTCCAATTTATTTAAATTTCTAATTTATTATATTATTAGAAGTACCCACGATTTTATTAGATACCATTAGAAGCAAATGACTAAAGTTTCACCTACTTCTAAACACTAAAGAATAAAAATAATACACTAGATTTTCTCATTCCGACCAAGAATTTTATATGTTGACTTTCAAGGTGTACTGATGCTGAATACGCTGAAATATCCATTCTTAGCTATTTCATTTCTCTTAAACTACCTGATTTTCGCTCTCTTCAAAGAAAATATGGCTGAATCCATTTTATTTGGCTCTGCCACTGAAATTTTGAAGAAGATAGGTTCCTTGTTGGTGGGGAAGATAGCAACTAATATTTTTTAATGTCCTTTTTTACTTTTCTATTATTTAATAAAATAGGTTTACATTTATACTTTTTATAAAATTAAATTAAACAGTTTTATACTATTAAATATTTTATTTTTATCTTTTAATAATTCTATATCTTTTTTAATTGTTTATACAAACGTGTACACTGATTTTAATTTTCTCTCTTATTATTATTTAAAAAAAAAAATGAGTTTATAAAAAGAAATAAATTACTAAGAGTAAATACACAGAGAAAAGGCCGGTAAGAAGATTGTAGATAAAATACGCACTCAAAAAAGCTCAACCTTTGTGAATGGATATGCGCGCTTCTCCCATCCTACCAGAGAAGCTTTCATTAAATAATTTTACTACACTCCATTAATCAGTCATTCAATGTCTCTCCCTTTTCTCTCTTCTTCTACTATTAATGTTTGATATTAAAAAAAGGTTATTATTCTATTATATAAATAGTTATAACATGTGGCCAAAAATAATAATAATAATAATTTAGATTTATTTGTCTATTTTTATTTTACTTGTGAATATAGTTGAACCAGGCCGTGAAACTTGCAAGGGCGCTTGTCCAGTCAATTCAATTTCCAATTTTTTAATGTTATTAGTTCAAACTTTTATATTCTTTAAGTTGTCACAACAATTTTGAGTAATTTTGCAGTTATGTTGTTCAGTATTCAAAGTGAAGCTAAAGTCTTTTAATTAAGTTGTGTACGATATGCAAAACAAAATGCACTGGATTGTGTATGTTAAGGGAAGTAGGAACCCTGCTTATACTGTAAGACTTGAATGTAAAGCCAGAATTCAATCAAAGTCATGTATTCTTTTTAATCCAATGATTTAGAGAGGTTTTGATATTACCTTTTTAACTTTGATAAAGCTGTTAACCAATAACTAATTCTACTCAGTATCACAACTTTTTGAGAAGCTAGAATATATGGTATTATTTTCAATTAACTTACATATATTTAGAAGCTAGTTGAAGGAGACAAATTTTGGGTGGAGAGAGAACAGAGAATCCCTCTCTGGCTGATGCAGAGTTAAGTTGACATTGCTTCATGAATGGTTGATGCAAAGAAAAGTTTCTCAACTATGTCAATTTTTATAATCTAAATGAAGAACCAACTGAAGCTTTTTCTGCTTAGGATTGATGGCTTTCAAACAAACAGTTTCATTATTGCTAATCTTTAAACCCTCTGATTTAACTGAAACAAAAATCAGAAAACCGCCGCACAGAGTTGAGAGAGTTTCTAGACCTTACTCGATTTGTAATACGAGTGACTGGAGAGAGTTTGAAATAGCTTTTATATATGAGGGCTGTGTCATCTTTTAAACTTTGTGAGGACTATTGTTTGCAAGAGCGGCTTTTAGATTAGGGCCATTTATATAATTTATCTATCATTAATGAACTTAATAAATATTTACAAATAGTTAAGGCTGTGTTTGGCTTAATATTTTTATCCATATTCTGGATCCTATTCTCCAAATAATGTTTGACACATTATTCCAGAAATATTATCCTATTTTTTTAATTATTTTTAAACCCCATAAGGTTATTAATTTCACTAAATACCCCCTAAAAAAAAGTTTAAAAATTAACAAAAACACCCTCATCAACCCAACTTGTCAGATTCCAAAAAATTTCGTTACGGCACAGACCGGTTGGATCTGTGCCGTAACACGTCGTTATGGCATTTTCCGGCCAGATCTACGGTCTGTTATGGCAGTCGACGGTTGGAAAAGGCCAAACGACGGCCATTTCTTTGGCCGTCGCTGACGGCCGAAAAAGGCCACATCGGTGAACTTCCGGCCATTTATGGTCGGAAGTTAAGCCGTTGTACAGATTCCGGCTATCACCGTACATAACATTTTGTTTTGCATATCGTACACAACTTAAAAGACTTTAGCTTCACTTTGAATACTGAACAACATAACATTAAAAAATTGGAAATTGAATTGACTGGACAAGCGCCCTTGCAAGTTTCACGGCCTGGTTTAACTATATTCACAAGTAAAATAAAAATAGACAAATAAATCTAAATTATTATTGTTATTATTTTTGGCCACATGTTATAACTATTTTTGGCCACTGGTTTATTATAAAAATATTCAATTCCTCAAATATAATTGAGTGATAATGATCATTTCTTCCTTAATATACATTGTGTAAGTACAAAGAGTAAAACTGTAACGTTAAAAATAAGAAAGGATAGGTATTTATCATAAATTTTCAATTACCTTACTTAGGTTTTTTTAACATCAAAATTCTTGATTTCTCTTCGTATATATCTTTCTATCGTCCCATCAATTTAACTTCTCATTGCTTCATGAATGGTTCTACAGCTTCATCCAAATTCCACTCCATTCAGCAAACATCGCCTTGCACCCAAAGTAAAGCAATAAGTTGGAAAAGTCATCGTTTTTCAAACTACCATTTCTCAACCATCCACATCCTGACTAAGGTAATATATGTGTTAAAAGTCAAAGTTTTGGGTGTCTTCCAAGAAACATACTGCTATACTTTTCCAATAAAATGCATACTTATCCGAACCCCTCTAGTATATAGAAACTAGTGTTTGATCAAAGATTTTCATATCTCAACAAATGGAAGAGGTGAAAGTTATTGGAGCTTCGCCGAGCGCATTCTGTGTTAGAATTGAATGGGCTTTAATGCTCAAGGGTATAACATATGAGTACATAGAAGAAAACTTGAAAAGGAAGAGTAACCTGCTTCTCCAATCTAATCCTGTTCACAAGAAGGTTCCGGTGCTGCTGCACAATGGAAAACCAATCTCTGAATCTTTAGTCATCCTTGAGTACATAGAAGACACATGGAAACACAACCCTTTATTGCCTGCAGATCCTGTCGACCGGGCCACGGTGCGTTTCTGGGCAAAATATATTGATGACGAGGTAATTCAAGAGTTACATATTCATTTGCGTAAAAAACTTCACACGTGTTATGTATAAAAAATATTTATGAATAGAAGAAAGCTCTATAGTTAGAGGAGTCATACTGACTATTTATTTGTATGGTTTGTTGTGCAGTGTGTGTTTAGTGCTTTGGCTGCTTACCGTGCCCAAGGACATGAAAAAGAGAAAGCTGTAGAGTCTGCACAACAAAAACTAGAAGTTCTCAACGAGCAGGTTCAAAACAAGAAACTATTTGGTGAAAAGTGAAAACACGAGTTTCCTCGGCTTGGTTTTGGGTCCTATACCTCACTGGCTACAGTTTATAGAAGAACTTGAAGGTATAAAGCTACTTGATCCTCGTAAGTTTCCATCACTGTATGAATGGACTCAGAAATTTGCAGAAACCCCGTTGCTCAAAGAAAAAATGCCAAAGAAAGATGACATGATCAACTACTTCCGAGCTAACCAGGAAAACGCTTAAAGATTACAATCCTGTTGAATTTCCTAACTACATAGAGGCAAAAACCTTATAATAAAGTTGTTATTGAATGCTTCGAGAAGTATTTCCTTTAAAAATAACGTCGATAGCAGTGAAATGTTGTCTTTTTTAATATTTACACTATAAAAGAAGTACTACAAGTGCATTTGTTGCTTTAATAATGTTCCCTGCTCTCCTGATAAACAACCCAAGATTAAACACATTACAAAAACTAAATTTCTCCAGAAAGTAAGCAAAAATATGATTAAACCTGTCCCGTAAGGTCACACTTTCGGGAGAACAAATGCCCTGAAAGATGAATCAAAATCCTTACCGAACTTTAGCAAATTAGATTGGAGGTAACGATCTTATGTATAACATCTGCGGTAAGGAAGAAGCATGATTCATGCATCGCAATAACCTTCAAATAATTCAATCACAGAACAATGTCCTAAGAAGCTACTAAAATCTTTCCCCTAAATTTATGAATGTCCAATTACTTCAAGATGTCTTTGACTGTTTCAGCTCCATTTAAACAGTAAAACCAGTGTAATGTAATGCCTCCCATAAACTCACACCACCACTTTGCAGTGTAAGAACCTTAATACTCAGCAGCATTTACTTTCCCAGTAAGGGAGATAACATTAGAGAGAGACAGAGCAGTTTCAACTGTCAAGTTAACTTGATATGTACAAGCATATCTAGCTATACATGTAAATATATGAATATCTACCATCCGTGCTAGAATTACACTGTTGAATTCTGATTATAAATTCAAAAAGAATAAGAGGTATTGACACGGTGACACCGACACCAAAATGCAGTCCCCCCACTTCTGCCTCTAGCAACTGCTATTTCCTCATCAATGTAAAACCAAATAAAGAAAGGATCCTTGTTGCCTGGCTCTCTGTCATTTTTTTGGCCCAGACTGATCTCTAGAGGTTTCAAATTCCCAATTTTGATGCGAATACATTCAAAAATGAAGGCCAGTATTCTCTTCTTCCAAGAAAATCTGCCTTCAAATGTTAAGCATCCAAGTGGGCCGAGATACACCCCATTCTCAATCCTCTTTCCCTGATAGCAGTTGAAAATAAGACTGATTACTTTCTTGCTTGATTGATGATATTAGCAATCTGAAGTTATTAGCAATTTCGAAGAAAATCCAAAGGCATGGGAAAATTACAAAGGGTAAAACAAGCATAATTGCTAGAATGTAAATCTGCATGAGCATCTGTAAATAAATGACTGGAGGAAATATCACAATATCACACTGACACATAAATCATTTATTTACTTCTCTATTGAAACCATGATCAAACCTTGTACATGTTCTAAGAATGCAAACTCACTTTTGATATCCTAAAGAAACAAGCAGTACATACTTTTGTGTAAAGATCAGTTTATATTTCTCCATCACCAAAGATTCAATGCTGAAATGTGAATCAGTTAAAAAGGACAAGAGATGCTTACAGCAGCGTCAAACCTCTGAACGGCTGTAAGAGGAAAGTAGCGACCGCCCTTTAATTGCTTCTACAATATATAAATGATAACAAGAAGAATTGTAACTCAATGAGAAACTCAAAGTTACATATATAATCACATAAGAGAAAGCAATGCAAGTATACGAACTTCGGCAGTGAAGATCAACATCCAAGTTCTGCCAGGAGACTCTGTACCACCAAGTGTCTCCAAAAACCCAGAAGGATCAAGTTTTGACTTCTCGATGACAGATAGGGCAGACAGAACCTCTTCTACCGAAACCTTTCTAGTTTTTGCAGCTTTCTTAAGCACTTTCACACTCTCCTCTACTTCCTGAACCATAAAATAAACTCAAAATAATTCACACTCTCTTATACCCACAACAGAAAAATAGCAAACTAATAATGACCACATAAGTTGAATTAACTGGTAAGAAAATGGAGATAATCAATCAAATAAGCATAGCTGTTTTCCTTTTCCTTTCGTATTCTGAGCAACAAAATCTAAGGTACCAAATATCTTATATATAAGCTTAAGCAGCAAAAAAGATTGGATTTTTAACATAATCAAATATAAAAGAAGATGAATTTACGGAGTCGGATTGCTGTTGTTCTTGAACAAGAAGTGGGGAAGGGTCTTTCTCATCCAGTGTAGCATTGGTCTTCAGACTTGGTAACTTGAGATGACAATTGTTTGGAGGGTTGAAAGAAGGAAAAGATATTATGTTGGTTTTGAGAGGCAGCTTAGAGTTAGAGGTGTTGAAAGAAGAAACAAAAAAGGGTGAGGGTGAGGGTGAGGCATATGCATGTGAGCCCATGGGTTCTTATTAGTTTGAGAAAGAGAAGTAGCCATTTCTTCTTGCTTCTATCCTCTCAATTAATTCTTGTGGATTAGATTCTCCTGTTGACATTACTATTTTTTCTGCATAGACACGTGTCACGGTGCCATTTTATCTGATAATATTTTTTCACTCTTCCTAGCTATAAATATTATCACTCCACACATTTTACATATCATCAAGGATATATAACTAAACACCCCCACCCACCCACAGAGTCAGATTTCGGCCACTACCGTCAGAATCTGATCGAAATCTAACATTAAAACACAGACCGATCGACAGATCTAGTCGAAAAAAGCCAAATCTACGGTCAAATCTGACCGTCAACGGCAGCAAAAAGCCAGATCCGGCTATCAACGACGACTAAAGATATGATTTTCATTGTCGATCAATGACAGTCATTTCTTTGGCCGTTGTTGACAGCCAGATCTGGCCGAAAATGTCAAATCGACGAATTATTGGCCAGTTTCGGTTGTTTGTACACCTTTGTGACAGATTTCAGCTACCACCGGTGGTGGTTGCCAGAATTTGACAACTATGGGTAGGTTGGGGTGTTTTTGTTAATTTTTAAACTTTTTTCTAGGGGTGTTTAATTAAGTTAATAAACTTAAGGGGTCCAAAAGTAATTGAATAAAATATAATAGTATTTCCTAAATAATGAAACAAACAGTTATTTTGATAATAGGATTGGAAATAAGTATGAAATAATAAACCAAACGAACCCTTAGATACCAAATGCAGGCTCTATATTTGTTCAAGTACTTGCCTTTATGATCCAGTAAACTTACAGATTTACATCTCAAACATGGTACTTGCTTGACACAAGCTGCCATTGTCTTCAAATCAAACTCGATCTAAATGGCTTTATTGTTTTCAAACAATTACCAATTAATTCCCTTATTGCTAGTCTTTTAAACCCTCTAATTAATTTAGAGCTTCGCATGTCTCCATTGAAGGCAAAGTAACTTGAACAATGCAAAACCAGTCAAGATTTCTCCACTTATTATAAATACATATAATGTGGTGTAACATCAAATATTATATGGTTGTTAGAGTTTCCTCACAACTATTAATTATTCATACATACAAGCATTAATAATATGAAAATTACGTAACATAAAGTTAATTAATTTTTAGTGGGGAATTTGACATTGTGATTGGCATGAGATAAGGCCTTCTGACAACATTCTGGATTATATCTACAACAAAATGGAATTCCAACCTCACTTATTTCAATCAATATATCGACAATTAAAACGACCATTATTATCATCTTCAACATAGTAACATCCATCATTGAGTTTTTCATTATTAATGGAGATACTACCTTATTAATCAACAACTCTTTTTGATTATAAGGATGCTTCAAGATCATTATGCATGAATACGATAGAATAAATGAACATGTATGTATATATAACATAATCCTAAAAATATTTGCAAAAATAGCCATTCTAAAATATTCGCAAAAATAACTGTTATGCATGAAAAAGTTGGGCTGACGCAAAACCCTATCAACGTAAGCGGTCAGAGCTTAGGTAGGTCCTGCAGCCATTCAGACGCAGCCACATCGCGTGCTGATGTGAGCAGCATGCTCCTACCAGTACAGTGGGTGTGCGCCAGATTGACAAAAGGTTAGAGACGATCCATGTGTCCAATCCCTGCATAAGTCGAGGAAATCACTTGAGCAGGTGAACAACAGGACACAAGAAAGGATTTGCACGGCAATCTGACTCACTCACAAATTTAGTAATCATTACCTCAATTCATCTCACTATAAATAGGAGGCTCCTCTCCCGTTTGTGAGATTAACTAATTTCTCTCTAGAATAGCATATACTCTCTCTCTTGTAATCACTTGTATTCTCCAAAATGTAAATCAGCACGTTGAACGCGACCTGATCTCATATATTAACACAATAGCAGTGGATGTAGAATTTGCTTACTTAAGCATCCGAACCACTTTAAACATTGTTCTCCATCTTTTATTTAGTTCAATACCCCCATATTCACATGTGTCTTCTGAGTCAGCTCAACATTTCCCACGTGCGGTTAGTTGGTGTTAAAATCCAGCATCAACAATAACCATCCTTGAAACCCTAAAAATGTTTGCAAAAATAGCCATTCTAAATTTTTTTGCAAAAATAACCAATCTCTAAACCCTATTGTTCATTATCCATTTAATATAACATATGATTTTCAAAGTTAACGCTACATGGGTGCATAAAAAAATATAAGTTGTATTCTCATTCAATATAAATTGTTAACGCTACATGGATTTTCAAATTTGTTTGCTTAATATCTTATTAACAAAGGCATTGCAAACAGAAAGCTTCCATTCAAAGACTTAATAAAATCTTGGGGGAAAATTTAATCATATAAAGCTAACTTTAATCAAACAAACTGATCGATAATATCATCAATTATAATAACTATAATGAAGTTGTAACTATTAAGTTCCAGATACGACAGTTTTTCCCCTCTGCAACAGTTTTTCCTGCAAAAACAAAGCAAGTACGTACTGCAATGCATAAAGAGAAAACAATAATCAATTGCAAAATAACATATCAATTACCTTCAGTACGAAGAGTGAACCTTTCAAGCTGCGGAAAATCTGACAACTTCTCAATGCATATCATGTTGTTCTTCACCTAAAATACACATTTTTAGTTAGGAGGGTTAGAGAGTAGAGCTCCTTGAAGTCCAATAGAGGGTGTTGCAGGGTTGATTGAGCTGCTGAGCTATGGATTCCACAGCCCTATCCCCCCATTGTCTGGAAGATAGGCTTGTGGCTTGCATATCCCAGGAGCTACATTACCCTATGTTAGATCCTTCTTTGGAATGAAGGGAGCTCTACACTTCTCCATCTTAATTACATTCTTCCTCTATATATATATACATTTAACCTCTTCATGTATTGAATTTTTTAATGTTGTTTTCCGCCAATGCTTTTTTCTTTTGCAGATCCATACTTGTTGTGGAAGCTTTGGGATCGAGTTGATTCAGGAGCCACAAGTTGAAGCTGATAATTTTACCTGTTTCTCGTGGATCTGTGAACTACTACTACACAATTAGGCAGTTGGTTTATTTAATTAATTAGTTGTTGGAATTAGGGTTACGACTTTGTTATGTATTCCAGTTCTGGAGTAGTGTATTTTCTTGATCTTTGTTGCAGCTTTTAATGGCTTTCAATCCCCTTCTGACTGTTTTGCTAATTGATACATTAACCATTTTGTTCATTTTTAGTTGCACTGAAGAATATTAAACTTTTTGTGAAGTGAAGTTTATGGTTTTGGTAAAATATTGGTTGAGTTGAGAAATATATAGTATGATCAAGTTATTACATTTATCACCGATATTATAACATTATAATGCTTTGATTATATTTATTATTGTTACGTGAATAAGTAGAGTTATTATTACGGATATATATAATGTTTCAAATTACCAAATATGATCAGTTTGATGAAGGTTTTAGGCAAATCCTACAAATTAAGATTGGAACTACCGAGTTTGATTAATCAAATAAAATTTTGTAATTTAAACAACAACGAAAATAAACAAAAATAAAATAAAATGTATGTCCAAATTTGCAAATACTTAATGGAACAAAAATACTAATTACAATAACCATCATTAGGTGTCAATTAGGACTCCTATGTGTATTATTCAAAAAATGTTAAATTTGATCCACTTGGATTGCTCGTAAGGTTACCATTGAAGAAATTTACCTAACTGTCAACTTTATGACCTCAACGGTTTAATTAAAATACGCACAAACTAATATAAACACCCCCAGTAACCCAAAAAACAAATTATAGTTGTGATTTAGTCTTGTGAGGGTAATTGGATTTGATAACATCACTACACCGTCTGCTCTATCAGGTATATATTTGAGATCAATAAAATGAAAATGTTTGAAAAAAAGCCATTAATGAAACCCTAAAAATGTTTGCAAAAGTAACCATTCTAAAAACACTAAAAATGTTAGTAAAAGTAACCATTCCAAAAATATTTGCAAAAATGGCCATTCTCGAAACACTAAGAAAATAGCCATTCTAAATATTTTTGTGAAAGTACCTACTCTCAAAGGCAAAAATAACCATTATAAAAGCATTTGCAGAAGTAGCCATTCTGAAAACACCAAATTTTTTATTAAAAAAAAAAAAAAAACCATTCTAAAACTGTTTGCATTTACGAAACCCTAAGTTTTTGTTGCAAAAATTACCAACCTCTAAACCACCCTAAACATAACAATGCAACATTATTTATTATCCATACTCCTATTATTGTTTACTAGAGCATATGATTTTCGAAGTTAAGGCACGCCACATGGGTGCATCAAAGATATAAATTGTATTCTCATTCAATAATATCATAAAATGAGTTCGTTCTTAATAAAAAAGGTATGACAATGGCATTGCAAACACAAGATTGGGGGAAAATTTAAACCATATAAAGCTAACTTTAATCAAACAAACTGATCATTAATATCATCAATTATAATAACTATAATGAAGTTGTAAAAATTGCAATGGGTGAAGCAGCACATATTTTACACCCATTAAAACTATCAATTAAAGCCCCCATTTCAATAACATAACTATGATACCAACACCAACACCTTTGCAATGCAACAGCTGAATCCAAACAATTTCTCTATCGATTGCTGATAAAAATGTCATTATCTCAACTCCTTCGGCTGCAATCGATCAGATCAGACACGCAAAAAAGTTGTTCTGCTGATTCAGCTTTGCCTGCCATCCAAATACAATGACAAGGAAATGGGGCAAACATCCTATAGCAAATATTGTAATCAATAACTTGCCATGCACAAATGGCTAAACTTCAGTATATCAATTACTCTGTTATCTTTTTAAAATTATTAACCATTTCAAATACATGTCAAAAGTTCATATTTCAAAACTTCGACATCATAATTTTAGAAGCAAAAAAGAAATGGTCAAAATCTGTAAACCATTAAGTTCCAGATATGACAGAAAAGCGGAAAAACCAATAAGTGTAACATTCTTTACAAGAGATAGTCCTCACCTCTAGTAACAAAAATGGTTAAGCGGCACAAAGATCAGTCACTTTCCCCACTGCAACAGTTTTTCCTATAAAAACAAAGCAACTATGTAACTGCAATGCATAAAGAGATAACAATAATCAATTGCAAAATAACATATCAATTACCTTCAGTACGAAGAGTGAACCTTCCAAGCTGCGGAAAATCTGAGAACTTCTCAATGCATATCAAGTTATTCACCTGAAATACACATTTTTAGGATCAAACCATATAATACAAAAAAGAACTTAAAATTTTGGGTCTAGTCTCTTCACTCAAATTCATAACTTGTAGCATGTACATATAACTAGTAGAAACCATTTCACGTTATTATTTTTTTGAGAGAACTAAATTCACCATTTTATTAACCATGTCAAAGTTGCAATGTATTTATGATTGTGATAATCAGCAAATGAACTTCCATTTTCTACTCATATTGGACAAAAAAATAATACATTCTTCTATATAGTTACAGGAAAAAAAAAATAATAGGTTTACCAATTTACATATCAAGAAAGAAGAAAAACAACTCTTTTAAGTCTAATAATCTACAAGAGGGAAAACCTGAACGCGGCATACAACAACAGCACCATTCTTCACAAAGAGAACTTTCTTTTTCATGGGTTTCTTTGTCTTTGGATCAATTTGCTGTATTAGCTCAACAATCTCACATTCCTCCACAACAGAATGAATGTGCAAGACAGCCTTATAGCCAGCAGTAAAAATTGCCTAAAAGAACAACAGTACTTATNTGTTTTGATTATATTTATTATTGTTACGTGAATAAGTAGAGTTATTATTACGGCTATATACCAAATATGATCAGTTTGATGAAGGTTTTAGGCAAATCCTACAAAATAAGATTGAAACTATTGAGTTTGATTAATCAAATAAAATTTCGTAATTTAAACAATAATGGAAATAAACAAAAAATATATATATACATGTCCAAATTTGCAAATACCTGATAGAAACAAAAATATTAATTGCAATAATCATCATCAGGTGTCAATTAGGACTCTTAAATGTATTATTCGAATAGTCTTGAGTATATTATTCTAAGAATGTTAAGTTTAATCCACTTGAATAACTCATAGGGTAGTCATTGAAGAGATTTACCTAACTGTCAACTTCATAATCCTAAACGGTTTAGTTAAAGTACGCAAAACTGATCCAAACACCCCCGATAGCCCAAAATAAAAAATTATAGTTGCAATATAGTCTTGTGAGGGTAGTTGGATTTGATAACATCACTACACCGTCTGCTCTATCAGGCATATGTTTGAGATCAATAAAATGTTTGAAAAAAAGCCGTTAATGAAACCCTAAAAATGTTTGCAAAAGTAGCCATTCTAAAAACACTAAGAATGTTAGTAAAAATAACCACTCCAAAAACATTTGCAAAAATGACCATTCTCGAAACACTAAGAAAATAGCCATTCTAAATATTTTTGCGAAAGTACCTACTCTCAAAGGCAAAAATAACCATTATAAAAGTATTTGCAAAAGTAGCCATTTTGAAAACACCCAATTTTTTTTAAAAAAAAAAAAAAAAAACCATTCTAAAACTGTTTGCATTTACGAAACCCTAAGTTTTTTTTGCAAAAATAACCAAACTCTAAACCCTAAATATAAAAATGCAACATTATTTATCATCCATAGTCCTATTATTGTTTACTAGAGCATATGATTTTCGAAGTTAACGCACGCCACATGGGCGCATCAAAGATATAAATTGAATTCTCATTCAATATATATCATAAAATGAATTCGTTCTTAATAAAAAAGGTATGACAATGGCATTGCAAACACAAGATTGGGGGAAAATTTAACCATATAAAGCTAACTTTAATCAAACAAACTGATCATTAATATCATCAATTATAATAACTATAATGAAGTTGTAAAAATTGCAATGGGTGAAGCAGCACATATTTTACACCCATTAAAACTATCAATTATGCGCTGTAAAGGCCCCCATTTCAATAACATAACTATGATACCAACACCAAAACCTCGGCAATGCAACAGCTGAATCCAAACAATTTCTCTATCGATTGCTGATAATAATGTCATTATCTCAACTCCTTCAGCTGCAATCGATCAGATCAGACACGCAAAAAAGTTGTTCTGCTGATTCAGCTTTGCCTGCCATCCAAATACAATGACAAGGAAATGGGGCAAACATCCTATAGCAAATATTGTAATCAATAACTGGCCGTGCACAAATGGCTAAGCTTCAGCATATCAATTACTCTCTGACAACTTGAGGTTTCTGTTCTCTTTTTAAAATTATTAACCATTTCAAATACATGTCAAAAGTTCATATTTTAAAACTTCGACATCATAATTTTAGATGCAAAAAAGAAATGGTCAAAATCTGTAAACCATTAAGTTCCAGATATGACAGAAAAGCGGAAAAACCAATAAGTGTAACATTCTTTACAAGAGATAGTACTCACCTCTAGTAACAAAATTGGTTAAGCGGCACAAAGATCAGTCACTTTTCCCACTGCAACAGTTTTTCCTAGAAAAAACAAAGCAAGTATGTAACTGCAATGCATAAAGAGATAACAATAATCAATTGCAAAATAACATATCAATTACCTTCAGTACGAAGGGTGAACCTTCCAAGCTGCGGAAAATCTGAGAACTTCTCAATGCATATCAAGTTATTCACCTGAAATACACATTTTTAGGATCAAACCATATAATACAAAAAAGAACTTAAAATTTTGGGTCTAGTCTCTTCACTCAAATTCATAACTTGTAGCATGTACATATAACTAGTAGAAACCATTTCACGTTATTATTTTTTTGAGAGAACTAAATTCACCATTCTATTAACCATGTCAAAGTTGCAATGTATTTATGATTGTGATAATCAGCAAATGAACTTCCATTTTCTACTCATATTGGACAAAAAAATAATACATTCTTCTATATAGTTACAGGAAAAAAAAAATAATAGGTTTACCAATTTACATATCAAGAAAGAAGAAAAACAACTCTTTTAAGTCTAATAATCTACAAGAGGGAAAACCTGAACGCGGCATACAACAACAGCACCATTCTTCACAAAGAGAACTTTCTTTTTCATGGGTTTCTTTGTCTTTGGATCAATTTGCTGTATTAGCTCAACAATCTCACATTCCTCCACAACAGAATGAATGTGCAAGACAGCCTTATAGCCAGCAGTAAAAATTGCCTAAAAGAACAACAGTACTTATTGGTTATAGATATACAAGCATTATTCACCAACTGAAATATAAGAAAAGACAATAACCATGCTAAAGAGCTTTAAATAGGAATTTATGAAAATGAAAACTGATGCTTGCACATACATTGTCCAGAAGCTCAAGGATCTGTAACTGGGCAATAAATTCAGTGACAGCAGCTATTGGTTTGGCTGCACAGACGGACAGAAAAGGTAAAAATCCAAAAAAATAAAAAAAAAATTACATTAGTAATATGCTTTTCAAAACCAAAACAATACAACTAAAACAAAGATTAAAATGTTAATACGCATCAATTGTTGGCAAAGATAAAATCGGATTGGTCATGATGAAATGATCCAGTGTATCATTATTTAATGATTTGCCACACCATTATGGCAGTTAGTATATGGAAAAAATACTAGCATAGTCAAAATATCATCCAGTAATAGACACCTCATTCAAAATTTCATTTTCTTTTCATAGTGCAATAGTTTTTTCTCCCCTTTTCTGGGATAAAAACAAGGCAATTTTACTAAAAAGTAAAAAAAAAAAAAAAGTGTGCCACCAATACACCAATAAAAGCAAAACAGCACCATCCAGTTGACAGATCTCAGCCATTGGATTTCCAACCGCAGAGGCCATTTCAACAGGAGAAAGGCACCTGACAGGGTTTTCATGGATGTCAGTTAATCAGAGTGATGTTATTACTGATTTATTTATTTTTTTTTTTTTTCATATATCAAATCAGGATCATCTCTCCCATCTACTCCCTCATCATCTCTCATTTTCTCTCAGTTTTTTTTTTCAGGCTAGGTAGCAACGCATACAATTTGTTGTGAGAGTAATTCCCATTCCTCAACTACACATATTACTAGAGTAATTGTTTAAATTTCAAACTGCTTCTTGATCTGTTTCGCTTTCAAGAGTTTTATAGCTATAAATTTTGATCTAGGGAGAATCTATTTAGCCAAATTTTGTACTTCTGACTTTGCAGTACTGTGCTTTCTAAAGAGAATTTAAGATAACAGCAAGCTAGTTGGCTATGCCACATAGTAGACTTCGCAGGAAGCTAGTTTTTATAGGTTTGCCAAACCTTACAGCACATAATGAAATGTTTAGCAAATGACGTTTTCCAGAACAACCAACAATTAGTTACCATGCAGAAAATGAAATTGGACAGAAGTTTGAAACAAAATGAAAGCAGATTTTCTCGCACCAAAGGATTAAAAAGAGAAGAGAAGAGGGAAGAGATAGACAGGCAGTGGGGGTAGAAGAGAATGCAACAATAAGAGAGAAAGAAACATGACTAAAAAAAAAAGAATAGAAGGAGCTGTTGGTAACAACAGAGGACTGCACCCATTAAAACGTCGTTCGGTGCCTTTTCTGCAATTAAAGTGATCTCAGCTGCTGGATATGCAGTTGAGATCTATGATCTGGATATATATAGAGTACAAGAGTCTCACTTTCTACACAAGTTTTAACACTTTAAATCATTGGATTAATGAATTTAAATGAATGATATTTACTCACCAACACTTGACAAGACGAAACCTGATAATATATCCTCTTCTTCAATCCCAGCCAATCTCACCCGTAGATTTTCGCCAGGTCCTGCACACCTAACCTTATCGTCATCACAGTATACAGCAACAACTTTTACTTGAGCCTGCAGATTGATTAATAAGATCCTTAACAACCATCAACAATATAATCGTATTTGACATACAAACAAATAATAGTGATAATAATAAATGAACAGGAAAGTAGGTCCAGAGAAAGCACCTTATTCGGCATGACCAACAAGGAATCGCCCTCCCCCACACTACCAGATTCTACTTTTCCCATCACAACAGTTCCCATATCTTTGAATTTGTCAAGTATAGGCATCCTGCAAGCCATTCATAAACATCAAAATAACAGTTCAAGTGCAGGAAATTGTTCAATATCGCATAAAAAAATATTTACAAGAGACTGGGACCAATATTCACAGCGTCAAAGTAAAGTCTTAAAAAGAAAAGGAATAATATCCGATCAAGAAAGATTATTTCATACCTAAATGGACCTTTAGGATCTCGTGAGGGAATCTCAATGGCATCAAGGGCTTCAAAGAGACAGGGACCATTCCACCACGGGCAAATGCTTTTGTCTATTCTTGTTTTCATGTTTGCGCCAATCAAACCAGAAATTGGAAGAAACTGGACATCTGCAAGTTTATAAAAGAATAATTTAAACAATAAAATAAACATATACAAGCAAATAAACGCTATCCACTGCAGCATGTTCAACCATACAGAAAAGATGGCCACATTTAAATTACACCATTGGATAATTACCGAGTATTCTTTGGTACAGTACACCTCAGATTAACATGACCAAGACTAAAGTACTGAACAGAGACAAATTCATTATATGAACTCTAAGCAACCATTATTGCAATTAAATGCATTGCTCACTATAGGCTAGTCTAGGCTAGGGAGAGTTTGTGTAAACTCCATCGCTGCTTTATGTGAGTATGGCCAAATATTGGAAAAATTCAGTCTCAACTACATAATGTTTTGAAGTAAAAATATGAATCAGCTGGGAGAACTATAAACAGAAGAATAGCTTCTTGGCATGATAGACTTGTACAATGCGAAGATAGAATATATAACATATTAATAATCACAAATTCAGACTTTAAAAAGTTCTTGGATAAAGAAATTGACTAGTTACCACAAAAATACAACAGAGATGATAGAGAACCAAAAACTTTACAGGAAAGAGCTAGGAGGAGAATTTCTTAACAGCACATATGCAAAGTATCTATATTGCAAAATGCCCAGTTTTAGCAGATTAGTCATGAACTTCCCTTAAATTTTGAGAAAATATTTCATCCCTCCACAAGTAGAAGAATGAGAATATCGATGCTCCTTGGCTCTAGAGTCTCCAAAAAAAACTATAAGACGTCAACCTTTATTCTGACAAGTGATCACAGAAGTTTTTCCTTTTTTTTGGCCAAGTGACAAACAGCTCATATCTAATAATTGACAATAACCCAAGACCATTGACATAAATGTGATGATACTCGGCCGGTGGCCAAAGACCTCACAAACTAAGCATGTTATCCCAAACTATCATATATGCAACTTGAAGCTATATTATGGAAAATATTTCTGAACTTTACGGGAGTAACTTCCATAGCGAAGAAAACTATGATGCATCATCAAAACTTATTATTCCACCCAACAAACAAAAATCAATTTTTGCCCCAAAACATAAATACAAACAACAAAAAAGAAGTAGGAAATAAATGCAGGTAAAACTCTTCCTCCTACAACTTGGTACTCTTCTAATAGATGGATTTCACAAAGACACTAGAATAAGGATGATTCAAAACAATAAATTAGGGCATCACTATAAGCAAACTCTCTATGCATTAAATATTCTAAGCAACCAGCCTACGACTGGGAAAATTGCAGGGCAAACACAAACCATTTCCCTTCATCCCCTTTGCAAATTTTAAAATTCATATGCAGAATTTTTTTATGAGAATATATTCTGTAAAACAAAACCATTTCCACTAGTCTATCAGCAAAACATAAAATCATTTCTAAAAGAAATTTCAGGAGACAATAAAAAAAAAAATACCTTTCTTCACATTGTAGCCTGAGGACTTTAAGAATGGTATCATCTTTGATTCAATTTCATCATACCTAGGAAAACAGCAGAATAAAGAACAAGCTAGGGAAAGACAAAGAAAGACAAACACCAGAAAGAGTCATGGAGCAGGTAATAACCTCTCTTTTGACCAGTTCACAGTGTGATCATCCATTTTGTTCACAACAATGAGCAGCTTGGAGACACCCAAGGTTTTTGCCAGCATAACATGTTCACGGGTCTGTCCACCTTTCTCATATCCAGTTTCAAATTCCCCTTTTCTAGCCGATATTACCTAATTAATAAAGTGTTTGTGATCAATTAAAAAACCAATATACAGGATCCTAAAACAATATAAGGAAATAAAAGATCAGCACTAACTTACCAGTACACCAATATCAGCTTGAGATGCCCCACTAATCATATTTGGAACATAACTCTTGTGACCCTGAAGAATCAATAGAATCACAACTGAAAATAGTTCTAGCAAAAAATGGGGGTTATTATGTTTCAGCTACCAATCTCTTTACTGGACAAAATAGAAACCACATGGACCACAGCCACGTTCCCAAAGGAGGAGCATACTCAAACTGGTTCAAGGACGGCGCTTGTAAGCTACTGAACTAAAAGCTAAACTACTACAAAAGAGATTCATAAACCCTTAAGTGGTACACATAGTAAGATGTTACCAGTTCTGAAGAATGATAGTAGAAATGCCTAGAATATAAAAATAAATAAATAATAGATGTAACTCTTGGCACTTCATTGAACAAAAACATAAAATATACCCTGATTATCATCCTCTTGCTTATGCTGGATCTTTATTTTTCATTTTTATTTTCCGACAAAATAATCTTTCTAGAACGATATCAGGAATCACCCCTCTTCAAGAATAGACTCTGAATATTGTCCTCTTCTATACAATCAGGTCATATCCTGATTATAGCCTTGCTCTTCAAGATTTGTAAGATTCCTTCATACATTATCCCTTTCCCTTTCTCATATTAAATCTCACAGCAAATGCTTCAAAATGAATACAAGTGAAATGCATACTTTCCCAGAACAGCTAAACAAAAACGCACACCAAGAAGAAATTTACTCAAGGACAATTACTATCTCAGGAGGCCAACTAACGTACTGTCAATTTAAAGTGTTAAGCAGTCTTCAGCTATCACAGTGGAAAAGTTTAAGACTAATTCTTTTGCACTTATCATCAAACACTTACAAAACCATAATGATAATGGAATAAAACCAAAATAATAATTCTTAAAAGAAAGTTCCTCACCGGTGCATCCAAAATTGTAAACCTAGTTGTCTCCGTTTCAAAATGTGCTCTTCCAACTTCTACTGTTTTACCCTACAGCATTACACATCCAAAATTATGTTACATCAAGTAATCCAATATCTTACAAATGCGTTAGCAATTCTAATAATAGGAAGAAAAAAAAAAAAAATTGTCAAATGTCCGAAAAACAATAATAGTATCATGGCCTCAAAAATTGCTAAAATTTTAAGAATATCAGAAATTACCTTGACTCTCTCCTCTTCATTAGTGTCCATAATATATGCCATATACCTAGCACGTAGACAATGTTTGAAATTAGTGAAGGATATTCTAAAACAGAAAAAAGTAAGTATGACATCAAGTAGCACATCACACATTCTCAAAAAGATAATTGACTTCAAACTGAACTAGCAATCATATTATGAACACAACTAAATTTGCATGGGAGAGAGGATAATTGGGTAGTTGGAAGCATAGGAATATGATATTCCAAAGAGTTGGGTAATTTTCAACAAAAATAACTGAAACATCCAAGAATAGATTTAAGAGAAAAATGGAGAGCATGTTACAAAATGGGGAAACATTAGAGAAAAAGAAAAATTAGCATTATAAACTTCTAATAAGATAAAAACTTTCAAAGTGTTCTTGATATGATATTAGAATGCAAGGAAATATTTGGGAAATTAATACACAGATGCTCTATTTTTAGCTCCGAGTCAAGTAGAGGTCCACACAAAGCTCATAGGATGTAATACCTAATTTGCTATTCAATCCATTACATTCTAAACAACACTGCCCCATGATTCAAAAAATACAACCTGTTACACGTTATCATAAATGCACATTTTTACTATATTTTTTAAAAATAAATAAATAAATAAACGAAAGATATACTTATTTACAATCAGGGACAATGGCTAATTGATGTAGAAGAAATAATCTTCAAGCCTTTTTGTCTTATGCAAAATCAACCTCCTACTAAATACAAAACAATAGAATACAAAGACAGCAGCAAATATTGGCATCGAAAGGCATAAATAGAAAAAAAGCCAAACCCAAGCATTGATGTCAGTAATGCGGATTGTGTGAGAAACACACTGATAGGGCATTCTGACAAGCTATAATAAAAGTACAACTATATATATGTACTTGTCTATTCCTGCTCAGATAGAGTAGCAGTAAATTAGAAAAAATAAAATCTCACCAGCTTTCCCTACTTTTGTCCTTTGCTTCTTTTTCATATTTTTGGATTGTACGGTCATCAACCTGACCACTAAGGAAAAGTATCTGACCTCCAGTTGTGGACTTACCAGCATCTGTAATCCAGATACAAGAAATGACAATTAAAACATATTGATGACAGGTGGGAACAAGTTTATATATCTAAAAAACTAAAGGCATGTATTAATTCAATTTGCATTATTGTTTAGAAAATAAATAAGAAAAAAAAAAACAGTATTTGTTCATGAACGAGAAAAAATTAATGTCTGTCAAACTATCTTCAAACAATTGAAGTCATTTACAACACCAAAGTTATATGGCTTACTATTAGAATCCAATAAAAATAAGTGACATAGCTCTACAACTTCAAATCAATATTACAGTACAAAATTCGGACAGCAGTGCATGCTCAGAGAATGATAATAGGAAAAAAATGCTACTCGCCATGTCACCAGATGTCTTAAGAGTTCATAAGATCTTGTATACCAACTTTTGAAGAGAATAAACTCTTTGCCCAGAAAAAGGAGGTAGAGAAATAACTCCTTAGGGATTCACCTAGGTAGAATCACTTTTACATTGAAGAATCCAGGGGACAGGTTTACTTAAAACACTTTTAAGTCTTATTTTTTAATTCATAATGGCAACCAAATATGGGAACTCAATCATATATCATTCATATTGCATTCATTAAACCAGCTTAAATTAATTAGAAGGCACAAAACACAAAGAATCAATGGTCAATCCATATGGCACAGGCTCCAGGTTTATATGGTAGATAGCTATGGAGAAGAGAGAGTGTTACAATGTCTCACCAGGTGCAGATTAGCATTAAACAAGTATTTCCAGACAAAAAGTTATAGCCAATCTACATAATTAAAACCATATAATCAATCATGAAATCTATTTTCTTAAAACAAAACTATCAAGTGCATCAACCCACCAACATGACCAATAAATACAACATTCAAGTGTCGCTTCGTAATTCCTTTCTCCGCCTCCACCTCAACATCTTGCGGTGCAGATACTTCCTTGTGTTTCACTACAAATAAACGTCAGACAATGAACATGAGAAAACGAATTGTTTGTATAAAATAAGGCAGCAATGCCTGACAGCCTGCCCTATAGAGTACTAAACTAGTAAAAGGGAACAAAAGTAAATTTTATGAAAACTAAAGCAAAGCAAAATTAATTTCTAAAGAACCTTTTGGCTCAGGATTAACTGGCTGAGAAACTGTGCGCACCTCCTTTGGATCTAACACCACCAGAATAAAAATTTTTAAAAGGACTTCTCTACATCAGACTCAGATGATATACAGTATCCATTTCCTTTTTCATTGATGCAAGCATAAGACACATGCAAAAGTAAATACAATGACTTTATCTTACAAGAAAAAACTGAGTTATGGTTATGGTTGTTAGAGAAGGAGGAAAAAAGTGGCACAACCATTTGAGTTGAAGTTTACAACTTTGGGGATTAGTGCAGTAGCTAACTACAAAGAAAAACAGAGCTGGTCTGTACTTTCCTAATAAGTGAAGCTAGATGATAAACTATCTCAAGGACAGACAAAACTTCAGGGAAACCAAGATTGAAAGAGGTTGGTTTCTAAAGTAATCACCACACATTTAAGAGTTCTAACATGTTTGATCGGTGATTATCTATCAATAATGCATCTATGTATCAGTATGAGAAGCCACTGCACGCAACATTAAACTTTTACATTAAATCTACATGTTGCTTTAGAAAATACAGCAACTTCAGATTTAACAATAAATCATATATTGTCACTTGAAATGCTATCACACGAATGGAACCAATTAAATCCAACAGGAACTTTTCTACTTAATAAATGACAGAATTCTCAAAAGGACAAGCAGATGAACTCAAGGCAAAACAAAGTCAATTTACTTTATGTAGGCTCCAATTACCTACTCAAAATGAGGTTACAACAAATTATATAAGAATCAAAATTGAATGTATGATTCACACCCCAAAAGTTCCATGTGTGTCCACTTTGATGCAGTTTGGTTGAAATCCAAATACTTTTAATTGACTTCAGAAGTTGTAATATATCACTGGAAGTGTAACAACAGCCATAATTGAAACCTAAATGAAACTTAGGCAATGTACAGGAGTAAAATGCTTGAGTCTCTTTCAAGGACACATGCACTTTCTTGGAATAAATGAACATAAAACTGCTGAAACAAAATCCAACTGTCCTACCAACCTTCCTCCATCTTATCCTCGTTCTCAACTTCGTCAGGCTTTTCTTCTTCTGGATTGGCCACCCCATTATTCTCTTCTGCTAAGATTAGATACAAGCATTGAAACATAACCGAAAAGCATGATACAAAATTCAACCCAACTTAAAATACACCATTCGTGTTTTTCTAACACTACCTGCTGAATCAAGCTGTAACGAGCGGATATCCTCCTCAATATCTACGAATTGGGAAAAAACAGAACAACTCATACAAGTTAATTACAGAATTTCTCAATACCATCTCAGGAGTTACTCTCCATTGAGTTGCATGCACAGGTAGAACGAGCATAAAATGAAATATAATTACTCAACAATACATCAAACCACTTTGAAAATACACCAAAAAAACCATAATTACAAGGAAAAAATCTCAGATAATCCAAGCCCAAACCATGCATATATAGCTAATATTTCACCAATCACCACAACAACATTAAAATTAGCCAAAATTTTAAAACTCGATGGCAATTCTCGAACTTGAGACGAGAAGTACAAGCAAAGCTAGATCAGACGAGAAATCGATCGATTCTAGAACAGCAGATCCAACAAAAGAAATAATCTTAAAAAAAATATGAAAAATCAAAACCAAATAGATTCCCCAGCGAGGGAGAAAAAATAGAAAGTAAAATAAGAGAAACAGAGAGATGAGCATGAGAAGAACGTACCCATAGCGACGAGGGCGTGAGGACGCAAAATTAGGGTTCTCTGAACGAAAAGATACAAGCAAGAGAAGAGAAAAGAGGCGTGTGGTAATGTGTTCTCGAAGCTTACCTTAACCTTAGCGTACAGAATACAGATTGACTCGCCTAGTGCATTATGGGACTAAGATGTTAAAAATGAAAATGTTAGGACTTATAAATGACAAGGAAAAGTAAATGGAAAAAAAAAAAAGCCCAAATTTTGCCAAAACAATAAATTATGGCTAGTTTAGCACATTATTTTTACCCATATTCCTAATTCTATTCCCAATTTGTTTTGTTATTTAAGAAATATTAGTATTTTTTTAATTATTTTTAGACCTTATAAGTTTATTAATTTCAAATACTCCCAAAAAAGTTTAAAAATTAACAAAAACACCTCTATTCATGCTTGTCAGATTTTGGCAACCACCGATCGGAATCTGACAAGTATGGGTGAGTGGGGGTGTTTTTGTTAATTTTTAAACTTTTTAGAGGTATTTGAAATTAATAAACTTAAAGGGTCTAAAAGTAATTAACAAAATATACTAATATTTCTCAAATAACAAAACGGGGGTAGCCGAAATCTGTCACAACGGCCTACAAACGATCAAAAATGGCCGGTAATTCACCGATGTAGTCTTTTCTAGCCAAATCCACAGTGGATCTGGTTAGAAAAGGCCATATCGACACCTTACCAGCCAGATCCGACTGGTCTGCGTTGTAACACATTTTCTGGCCAGATTCCGACGGTGGTGGCCAGAATCTGGCATTATGGGTGGGTAAGGGTGTTTTTGTCATTTTACAAAATTTTTATATATTGGGGTGTTTAGAAATTAGCAAACCTAGGGGTTTTTTTATAAATTTTTAAATTTTACCTCGTAATACTCCTCTATTCAACTACCCAATATTATTTCCAAAATCCTATCCAAAATTATAAAACAGACGGACCCATAAAATCCCAATAACAGTGAATTATAAAATCAAAATACTGCACTACTAAATAAATTAATTATGAAAAAAGAAATTAAGTCCCTATTAAGAAAATAAATATTCCTACACTATATATAGATTAATTGAAATGTTTTAGAAAAAAAATTATATAATCCTAAAAATTAGTGTAAAATAAAAAAAATTACATATTTGTTTTATTAGTTTCTAATAGCTGGTGATTGAGAAAATTATTTTTGAATATTGTTTTCAGATCATAAATCAAATAATCACAAACGAAAACATTTGTAATGAGGAGTTTTTGAGCCCAATTGTAAGTGACCTTGTTTTGCAGGTTTTAAAATTCGTGGATTCCTTTGTAATATTACAAAAAAAAAAAGATCATAAAGATAATATCCCATAGTATTACTGTTAAAAGGCTTCGTAGTAGATAAATTCGGGGTTTGACCGTATTGGCCCATTCATCCACAATACTTAACGGGCTTTTCTAAATCGGCCCAATGGGTCCACAATATTTCACGGCCTTTGTTAAATAGGCCCAATAGTTAAAGTAGAAAGATCAAATACAGTTCCAAATGTTCACGGAAGCTTTTATTTCATCACAGCCGCACACGTGTCATTGACTTGAACATAGATCTTTATTCGAAAAGAAACAGCATTTTTGGAACTATAGCAACACGTGGCATGTAATTTAATCAAACGACAGGCTGGAAAATGTTATCAGCTTCGTACAATTTGAGATCTAACCCTAGATTTGGTAGCTCGGATCTTCTATTTCGTTTCCAATTCAGTTAACCTACTCCTCACCTACATCTCAGCATCAGAGCACCACGTATTGTCAGTTAGAGATTTGCGTGGTGATGTCCCACGGTTACAACTTAAGAGAATAATAGGGTGTGTAGAGAATCATAAAAGAACGAGACAGTGCCTGGCAGGGGAGCGTGAGAGAGTGGGCCCTGGGTTGTCAAATCAACGTCCCTTTTGTCTATTCAAAAAAAAAATTTATTCAACTACCATTCATCCACTCTGACTTTTGGCCCTTTTTACTACTGACACGTGTCAGTTTCCACATGCCCATGCTTCTCCGTTCGTATCTTGCGTCAATATCTCGCGAGTTGTATCAAGCTACAAAACGCAAGGGTGAGTCTCTTGAAAATGGGAAAGTATTTGTGTATCTTTGAGAACCTTTGGGGGTGGATGGTAAAACATCCATAACACAAGGGGGAGTCGCTCTTGAAATATATACAATTACTGACTTCGGACAAGGAAATGTAGGGCAGAAGGGTTAGGGTTTAAGATAGCTTTCTTTATTCTATAACGCTAGACAGAGTTTTAATGGTAAAGACTTTTAACATTTTGCACAGAAGGGATCGCTTTTCACTGTACAAATGAAGTGAAAATGAAAGCAAACGATAAAATGAGCTTTTATTTTTAAACAATGCATGTGATAAACACATCAACAGCATCAACACGCGGGAATCTAAGGAGCCGGTTCCCAAGACTCTTCGGGGTTGGGTTGAGCTGTTGAGGCAAAGCAACAGCTCTCTCTTTCTCTTTCTCTCTCTATCTGCCGACCCACTACTATTCTTTATCATATCCCGAAGCACTATAAATTGCCTCCTATCAACCTCATCTCCATACCAAAGTTGCTTTTTATGGTTTATGGTGTTTCCAACCAGTGGTTGGTGTTGGTTTTTAGGGTTAGAGATGGGTTGTTTGTGATAGGTTTCAAGGATAGTTCTTGACTGTTTTTTTTAAATTTTTTTGGATGGTTTTGATTTTTTGTGTCTAGGGTTCAGCTGCTTGTTGCAGCTATGCTGCAAAACAGTCTAGGGTTTGTTCCTGTATCTGGTACTATTAGTTTAGTTTGCTGTTGACTTTGAAATTGTTTAGGGTTTGTTTGTATGGATAGCCTGGATCTATGGGGTTAATTCTTCAATGATTCAGGATGCATGCGCACCTCTCTTTCTCTCGCTCTCTCTCTCGCTCTCTCTCTCTTTTTTCTTTTTGCTCTTTCATTTGAGAAGATCAACTAGAGATCTTGTGATCTGTTTATTGTTGGTAATGAACTGATCCTGAGTCCTGACTAGGGTTTTCTTTCTTCTTTCCTCTTTTCTTCTTCTTTATGCTCGCTCGGGATTTACTGGGATCTTGCCTTGTGTATTCTAGCTCTTCCCTGTTAACTCTTTTTTCTTGATTCAGAAAAGTAGATCAAAGAATCCATTCTATATAGGAGAAGAGAGACTTTGTGTTTGTTTTCTTAGTTGTTTCCTGTTCTAGCTAGTATTAGAAAATATTTTATCATCTGCTTCCTAAAATGTTAAATCTGAAGCTAACAATAATAAGAAAGAACAAGGATTTGGTAGCGAGGGTTTATTTGCAAATAATGTTAGAAGAGGAGATAGGGTTTGTGGTTTTGTTTAGGTTGATGATTAGGGTTTAAGAGAGAGGAGGGTTAGAGAGTAGAGCTCCTTGAAGTCCAATAGAGGGTGTTGCAGGGTTGATTGAGCTGCTGAGCTATGGATCCCACAGCCCTATCCCCCCGTTATTGGAAGATAGGCTTGTGGCTTGCATATCCCAGGAGCTGCATTACCCTATGTTAGATCCTTGTTTGGATTGAAGGGAGCTCTACACTTCTCCTTCTTAATTACTTTCTCCTCTATATATATCTATACATTTAACCTCTTCATGTATTGATTTTTTTAATGCTGTTTTAGGTCAATGTTTTTTTTCTTTTGCATCCATTCTTTTTGTGGAAGCTTTGGGATCGAGTTGATTCAGGAGCCACAATTGAAGCTGATAATTTAAACCTATTTCCGTGGATCTGTGACTACTACTCGCACAATTATTAGCAAAACAGTCGAAGGCTATTGAATTAATTAGTTGTTGATTAGGGTTATGACTTTGTTATGTATTCGAATTAGAAATAAATGCCTTTTTTATTCTGGAGTAGTGTATTATCTTGATCTTGTTGCAGCTTTTAATGACTGTTTTGCAATTATACAATACCCATTTTGTTCGTTTTAGTTGTTACTGAAAGTATTAAGCTTTTTGCGCAGTAAAGTTTAGGGTTTTGTTCAAATGTTGGTTGAGTTGAGAAATGTATGATGATCGATGTTATTACATTTATCACGATATTAAATGTTTTGATTATATTTATTTTGTTACGGGAATAAGTGAGTTATTATTACAGATATATATATTTTTTCAAATTACCAAAATGTAATCAGTTGGATGATGGTTTTTAGTAAATCCTACAAATTAAGATTGGAGCTCTGAGTTTTGATTAAAAGAAAAAATTTCGTATTTGAAGGATTTGGGTCAATTTATTTTATCAGAGACAGGTTATTCATTAATCAAATAATTAGAATCAAATGAAATAAAAACAAATACAATGAATTCAAATTACGAAACTTATACTGAAATCACTGTTCTGACTCTATTTCGTTCCTATTAACACAATCACAAGTTCAAACATAAGGAAATAACAAAAAAAAAATGTCGTCCATATAACCAATGACAAGTTCACAATAACGGAAATAACCAAAAAAAAAAAAAAAAAAAGAATATGTCCAGTTTTGTAAACACTGATGGAACAAAAATTGTAGTCATAACAATCACTGAGTAGTCCAGTAAACTAAGATTTTAGATGTATTACTTAAAAGGTCTTTAGTTTTATCACCCGGTTGTTAGGATTTTTGGATGTATTATTTAAAGTCCTGAGTTGTATCACCAGTCAACTAAGACTTTTAGATATATACTTAAAAATCTTGAGTTTTATCACTTGAGTATTTATGACTTTTGAATGTATTATTTAAAAGTTTGAGTTTATCTAGGGTGAGCACGGTTACGGGTAGAACCGGAACCGGGGGTAAGAACCGGAACCGGAACCGGAACCTACCCAGAACCTGCACTGTGGCGGTAGGTTCCGTTTTCCAATTTTTTGGACCGCTACTTGCGGTTCCGTTCCGATTCTTACCCCCGAGGAACCGGAACCGGAACCGGAACTGTAAAAAGGGTACCCTGTTTGGAACCTGTGGGTAACCCTGTTGGAACCTGTTTTGGAACCTGTTTGGATCCTTTTTGGAACCTTTTTTGGAACCTGTTTGGAACCTGTTTGGAACCTGTTTTGGAACCATATTGGAACCTGTTTTTGGAACCTGT